GTCTTCAATTAATAAAAGAACAATATGCGCTTGATCCTGATTTTAAGGATGTGTTGCTTAATTGTAAAGAGGGATGTACATGGAATAAGTTTATGATCAATGATGGGTTTTTGTTTAGAGCTAACCGCCTATGCATTCCAGTTGGTTCCGTTCGTCTTTTGTTGTTGCAGGAGGCACATGGAGGCGGATTGATGGGACATTTTGGTGCTAAGAAGACGGAGGAGGTGCGTCCACACACTTCTTTTGGCCTAGGATGAGGCGTGATGTGGAGCGGTACGTGGCTCGATGCATCACATGTCAAAAAGCTAAGTCGCGGTTGAACCCACATGGTTTGTATATGTCTCTTCCTGTTCCTTCTACTCCTTGGGCTGATATATCTATGGACTTTGTGTTGGGTTTGCCAAGGACTAAGAGGGGGAGGGATAGTATTTTTGTGGTGGTTGATCGTTTTTCTAAGATGGCACATTTTATTCCTTGTCATAAGAGCGACGATGTTGTTCATATTGCTGACCTTTTCTTTTAAGAAATCGTTCGCTTGCATGGTATGCCTTCTACTATTGTTTCAGATCGCGATGCAAAATTCTTGAGTCATTTTTGGCACACGTTGTGGAATAAATTGGGGACCAAGCTGTTGTTTTCTACAACATGTCATCCCCAAACTGATGGGCAAACTGAGGTTGTGAATATAACATTGTCTACCATGTTGAGAGCAATTTTGAAGCGCAATTTGAAGATGTGGGAAGAGTGTTTGTCGCATGTGGAGTTTGCATATAACAGGGCGGAATATTCAACCACCAAGGTAAGTCCTTTTCAGGTAGTGTATGGTTTTAATCCCCGTGCTCCTATTGATATTTTGTCTTTACCTACCACTGAGAGAATACATAGTGATGTTAGAGAGTGTGCTGATTTTATTCGTAAGTTGCATGAAACAACTAAAGTAAATATTGAAAGAATGAATGAAAAGTATAGAATTGCTGGTAGTAAAGGTAGAAAAGAGATTAAACTTGAACCGGGTGATTTGGTTTGGTTACATTTGAGAAAAGATAGATTTCCTGAGCTGCGTAAGTCTAAATTAATGCCAAGAGAAGCTGGTCCTTATAAGATCATTGAGAAAATAAATGATAATGCCTACAAACTTGAATTGCCATCCGAGTGCGGGGTTAGTCCCACCTTTAACATTGCAGATTTGAAACCTTATTTGGGAGAAGAAGATGAGCTTGAGTCGAGGACGACTCCAATTCAAGAGGGGGAGGATGATGAGGATATCACGTCTTCAGAGGCAACCGCTGATCCCCCAACCGTCATGCAAGGTCTAATGACCCGGGCTCGAATGCGACAACTCAATTTAGAGGTGAGCTCGTTCTTAAGCGATCCTTTTCATACTTTTGAGAATAGACTACTGCCTAATGATGTTATCTTGCTTAGGAACATTAGAGAGGGTCATGAGGGACTTAGAGGACGTGGTGGACGCGAGGATGACCAGCAAGGAAGTCCAACAAAAACCGGAGGCCCGATCCAACATGATTTCAAGTCTGTCTCGGCCTCCAGGACCAGTCTGCCTTAAACTGGTCACCCAGGACACATCCGGACTCCGTTTTTGACGATCCACATATGGATGGAAAGGTAATTTGATAAGGAAGCCAATCCAAGTGGTCTCACGTCAAAAGCTATTCGGAATCAACGAAAATCGTGGTCACAAGACAGCATCCAGAATCTGTCAGGGTGCTACGACACCGTCTTTTGGTCTGTTGGACCATGTATCGTGTTTGGGCCCATTAGGGGCGCGTCCAGGGGTCTTTCACGACCCTAGAGTCTTCATAAACAGCCGCCGCTCCTCCATTAGGGTTCGGGTTTTGCTTAGATTATTCTATCAAGAACAATTTCGCCGTTCATCGGTTTGTGAGACCCCAACTTTAAGAGATTAATCATTCATCTGTAATTTGGTTGTGTTCTTTCTTGTTCTTGATTATGTTCTTTGTTGCGCAGGTAGGGATTAGCCTTCTTGGTGAGGTCAACCTGGTCTGTGACTCGGTTGATAACCAGAGGAGCTGTGGTGCGATGATGAGGACATCACTTCTTCAGAGGCAACCGCTGATCCTCCAACCATCATGCAAGGTCCAATGACCCGGGCTCGAATGCGACAACTCAATTTAGAGGTGAGCTCGTTCTTAAGCGATCCTTTTCATACTTTTGAGAATAGACTACTGCCTAATGATGTTATCTTGCTTAGGAACATTAGAGAGGGTCATGAGGGACTTAGAGGACGTGGTGGACGCGAGGATGACCAGCAAGGAAGTCCAACAAAAACCGGAGGCCCGATCCAACATGATTTCAAGTCTGTCTCGGCCTCCAGGACCAGTCTGCCTTAAACTGGTCACCCAGGACGCATCTGGACTCCGTTTTCGACGATCCACATATGGATGGAAAGCTAATTTGATAAGGAAGCCAATCCAAGTGGTCTCACGTCAAAAGCTGTTCGGAATCAACGGGAATCATGGTCACAAGACAGCGTTCAGAATCTGCCAGGGTGCTGCGACACCATCTTTTGGTCCGTTGGACCATGTATCGTGTTTGGGCCCATTAGGGGCGTGTCCAGGGGTCTTGGATGACCCTAGAGTCTTCATGAACAGCCGCCGCTCCTCCATTAGGGTTTGGGTTTTGTTTAGATTGTTCTGTCAAGAACAGTTTCGCCGTTCATCGGTTTGTGAGACCCCAACTTCGAGAGTTTAATCATTCATCTGTAATTTGGTTGCGTTCTTTCTTGTTCTTGCTTGTGTTCTTTGTTGCGCAGGCAGGGATTAGCCTTCTTGGCGAGATCAACCTTGTCCGTGACTTAGTTGATAACCAGAGGAGCTGTGGTGCTAAGATTGCAGGGTTCGATCTTTCGATCTGAAGCCGGATCGGTGTGTCATTGTCCGCCACAACAATAGTTACCACCACCTGACGGAAGATCGGGATCCCCGTCCCCATTAGGTTCCCCAGTAGGATTGCTGGCGTGATCTAGAAGTCCAGGGTCCCGACGAAAATTAATTTTTTTCTATGACGAGTTTTTAACAAGTTACAGGTGGGTAAGACCCTTATCAAACGTGGGTGGAAAGGGAATGGTAAATGCTGTGTATGCAACACCTGGGAAACGATTGATCATATAATCTTCCATTGTGTACTGGCCAGATTGGCTTGGGGTATTTGTGGAGAGGTCTTCAAATGGAATTCCAGACCGAGATGCCTGAAGGAACTCTCTGAAGTATGGCTCATGGGCAAGGGGCCCTTACCAAAAAGATTGATATTGTTTATCTTTTGAGGATTTGCTTGGGCGCTCTGGACTACCAGAAACAAGATGTCGATTGAGCAAAAGTTTCCCAAGACTCCCAGTCCCACTGATGTAGTATATCTTGCATTATTATACCTGCAGAAGTGGAGCATTCTATTGAAGGACGCTGATCGGGATCGTATGGAGGCAATCAATGGGGAGATCATGGGCTGGATGAGGAGCTTCAAGCCAAATGAAGTGATGGCCTCGGACATAATCGAACTTTAAATTTTCTGTAATAGGTCTTCTGTTAGCAGTGCTGAAACGCTAGGTTGTTCAGTAGTGGCCGTGGACCGACGTAGCTTTTATATCTCTATAATCGGTCTCGGTTAAATGTTCTGATCTGGAAACGTTTCTTCTCCCAGTAATGTATCGGTCACTATCGCTTTCTATCACCCTGTTCGCTTGACTTATAAACCGTATATTTTCAGCCAACGAATAATATTTTTCTCTCACAACAAATCAGTCAACAGTACTTTTAGCCATGGCTTATCAGCCAAGTGAACCAGGCATATAAAAGCATAGGTCTTCCTCTTTTTAAAAAAAATGACATTGAACAGCCAACCAAGCATCACTTTCATCTTCTGACATTGCTAGACACACTGCCTCTAGCTAAGTAGGCTAGGTAGCTTGAGTAGCACTCTTCAGGTTTTAGACTCTACTCATCGTGGGAGCGAATCTCAAGGTATGGTTAAAAAGATCTCATCTGTCCCACGCCAAAGAACAGGTAACATCAATATGGCATCTTCCCAGTTCAGCGCTTCCACAGGCAGCATATACCATTCTTGTACTAATTTCGGCCAACACAAGTCTAAGCATGTGATAGGGGAAATAAAAGATGTGTTAGTACTTTTTTCGACGAAAGAAGAATTATATTAGATGAAAGCCGGATACATCAACACGTTACAATCACTCTGGATTACACAAAATATTCAGAAATTGATTTTTATCTAAATTGTACCCACGATGTGAATAGCACAGATCTCAAAACCAAACATATACGATATTTTGTAGTATGGATGACCATATAGGCAATACACTCGACAAAAAGCCTGAAAACAGATACCCAACGAACTACGGCCAACATTCATATAAACGGAGTTGAGAAACTTCTTTCTAGTGTCTTCCTCCTTGCTTCTGCCACCAAAGAATAAGGAAGACTGATCTGAAAGTTATTTATCGTAGCCAAATCTAACCGCAATAAAACGAAGAAGAGACCGGAGAAAATTATTCCACGATAGCGATACCATGATACCATCTCCGCCTTAATGTCGCCGTGCGAAAATAAAAATCTCCATGTCAGTCAAACCGATGAGGATGCTGACACCATAATTGTCATCTTGATCTTCAACAGAGCCGCCATGGAGAAAACGCTTCCACCCTACCCTCTCCCCAGAGAGAAAATAGATCCCCAGAACCAAGACGAAGAGATCCACTGGCAGAGGAGGAGGAGGGGAACCAGCGCACGCGGTTGGGTCAGGGGTCCACCAGGTTAGTACTTATGCAGCGAGATTAAAGGTTTTCTGGCATTATCCGCATGTAATCCTGCATGCCCAGTACATTCTCGTGTGCGGCCGGTTCCAATACATCCTACCACCAAAAAAGCTCCCTCTCTTGCCTATGCACTCATCACTTGCACAACACGACTGAGTTAAATGTACCACGAGAGATGCAGCAGCCGTACGTTGCCTCACAGCAAGTAGAACTGCGAGTACAGAAGCTCCCTGATCTTGTAATAGTCCTCACAGAGTGGGCCCTCAATGACGATCTGCTGAGACCCTGCGCTGCCCTGCAATATATATCATCGCATCACAAACGTAAGACCTTGTTTGGATTCTGCAGTATCAACAAACTGCATTTTTAGAATCCATAGAAGCGCAAAATCAAGGTTTAGGAAAAAAAAACTCCAAAAGACTACAGTTTTAAGCAACATAACTTTCAAAACTAAAAGGCTTCTTCCATCCAAACACTTCATAATGCTGCTCAAAACCAAACTATTTTGCAAACCATGGTATTTTTTAGAACTCCAAAAATGCTTTGCATCAAAACAGGGCCTAAGTGTGTTAAAGTCTCACACCACCGGGCAAGGCATATCAACTATGCTCCTGCAGTTTTGTTGGTATGTCATAAAAAATTGAGGCATCTGTTTGTCATGTATCATCTCAAGTTCTGGACCATTCTGCTGAAACATGCACAGGAGTGTTGCTCCTAAATGGATGCTCAAGTTACCTTTTGGCTAGAATCTCCAATCTTGCGCACCATGATGTATTCGCCACACTGTAAAGCACCTCCGGCAAATTCAACCTGCAACAACTCTTTCCTTAGCGACTATGTCAATGGCTTCAGTATATACCAAAAATATTATTTATCCCTTCCCGCTTAATATTATCCACTAAAAATACATATGCTACACCTTTCATCAATCAACTCTTGTTCGAGAGTCGAGACTATTAACATCTATAGGCTATGTGAACTAAACAGCCTGTGCAGGTAACAAGTTCCATCTAGTATCCTGCTGTATGCTAGGGATAGTGAAAGTTGCCAGCACAAATTTCTTCTCAACATACTATACTAATACACCTGAATCTCAACATATTTTATGCTCTCGTCTCGTGTTCAACTGGGAAAAAAAACTACTCCCTCCATTTCAAATTGTAAGTCGTTTTAGTTTTTTAGATGCACAACTCTTATCATGTATCTGGACATAATGTATATCTAGGTGGGTACCAAAAGCTATGTATCTAAAAAAGCCAGAACGACTTATCGTTTGGAACTGAGTACTTACTAAATGAAATATTCATGTCCACTCCTAAAACTATAAGTTTGGATAATGGCTATAGGTACAGGGGATGGTCAAAGACTCAGTAATTCAATATAATAAACCTACCTGCCAGCCTTTATTTTCCAAAAATTGTTTAAAATCGGACAATTTTAGATCACCCACAAGAACTGGCTTGTGGGGTGGTGGTGTTGATGATGGGGGGAGCAAAATAAGCTTCTCATCTTCTTTTCCAACTTCTGCATCCACCCAAGCAATTTCATGCTCACCCAACTGCAGACCATGCTGGTGTTAGTGATTTTAATGATGACCTGTAGTCAAGTAATAACAAAGTACAGTGTTTAAAAACTAACCGCTTCAAGGATGAAAAACATGGTTACTTGCCTTACAAAATCTATAGGTACCAACTCAAACTAGGCCAGTTCTTATGGTAAATGGACAACTTTTTTTTTCTCGAACAAGCAGGAGAGCTGCATATCATTATATTAAGAAGAGTAAAGGAGTGGGTTTAGAAACCCCATACAGACACACACATACAGACACCCTTTTACATCTAATGGTGTATCTCTCTCTCACTTTTCAAACTTGACCCAAGACCACTACAGAGGAACTCATGCATTGGCTGGCACTAGAGCAAGGAGATTGGATATTCCCCGAGCTCCAGCCAAACTCCACAGGAGGAACTCATCTTTTACTGAAACCAGGACACTACTTAGGCTCGGTTGAATCCCGTCAAAAACACAGCGATTGCGGTGATTCCAAATGGACCAAGCTCCCAGAATGATGATGGAATTGAGACCTTTTTTAGTCTGGTCATCAACACCAGAATTTGTGCTTGCCCACCATGCAAGAAAGGAGTTGTTATCAGGCTGGGGGGAGAGGTCCTGCAGGCCAACCTTATGAATGGACAACTTTTTGGCATGCAAAGCCTTTGAAGTTGAATAATGAATGCAACTGGTTCAATATTATTTAGAGCTAGCAACTGAACAATGCAGTAACAACCAATATAAGAAACACTCAAATCAACAAATGCCATATATGAAAGGGAATGGTAATATTTAGAATTTCAACACCTAAGGAGTTAAAGTTCTGGTGCAGTGTTTAAGAACTCACAATTTTGCAAGGGGCATTTTTTTCTATAACAAATTTGCTTGGCTTAATCTGAGGGTTAAACTATACAAAAGGGAAGTTGGACCATTGGATTGTCATAACAAGGTTCTCTGGAGCTTGTTAACAGCAACAGAAAGAATGAATGATAATGGTTTAGGGAAATATAGCTCGTACCTTCTTAGAAATGATGTTACTCATTAACTTCTCTGAAAGTTGGACCTGAGATAACAAGATAGCACAAACATCACAAAGTTAAGCAAATGGAAGGTTAAAGAAATATGCAACATACCAATTGTAAATGATGCAGTTAAGTCAGGAACACAGGCTCCTAGCTTAATAAGTAATGGCATTTACACTAGGGTATTCTTGCAGCCCAATAGAAGATCATAGTGTTGCATAACTTAATTAAATTTGAGTGATTAGTACGTGTCAGGGGTTTGATTTTACCTCATTGGTTCCAACAATCAGATAAGAAGTAGCACATTACTATATTAGGTTATCTGACCTCCATGACCTCCTAGGCAAAGGTTCTACTCAGTACTTAAAGAGAGTTTGCAGTTAAGATTCTAACCTTATAAGCACATAAATCTGATGTTACATCAATTGTTTCCTCAATCTGAGGAGCATAAACATGCAAGTCTAAATTCTTTGCGCAATGCATTTTCAAATGTTCAGTTGCTTCCGCTGATCCATGCACCAGAATCTGCAAAAAGTCATGCATAATTCCAGCATAAGATAACAACTTTCTATGTACAGGTCAACCATCGACCACAAGGATAACAGTAGCATGTCACTCAAATCTTGTTCTAACTAATCAAACAAGAAGCAACAGACATTTGCAATTTAAATAAAGTTTTGCAGTGGCATGTCAACCCCAAAAAATGCATAGAAATGACACACCCTACCATCTTTGGTGTCAATACCACAGATATTTAAGTACATGGGGTTGGAGAAAATTCAAAAAGTTATTTTTGCTATGGAGAAGTATAACATGTGTGCAGAAAGAAAGAATATGCTCCAGAAAGGAGCATTCTTAAGTTAAAAGTGACAGTGTAAAATCTAAAACCATGCAGGTACAAGAAAGAATATGTTGAATTAAAGTCACATACAAGTTTCAATGGAGCCACATGAGCAATAACTGATTTTACAGAACGCCCATCAGAGCGACCTTCAAAGTCCATATAAACCAATGAGCATTTCACTTGAACCTAAAAAAAATGTTCAGTATACCAGAGCACATGTAAAATTTCAATTATATAGACATATATCTAGCTCTGCGACTGATGCAGAAATTAATGAAAGAAAACAAAGAGGAAAAAACTTACAGTCATCTCATTGGAAATGACTTTTGAGGGTGTTGAATCAAGAAGCAGGCGTGCTGAGCCATCATCAATCTTACCATCTAAACCATCTCCAGGACCCTGAAGAATACGACATGCTTGTCAGAACCTAGAATAATTCAATTGATTGTCGTCTTGTATGGAGTTTCATGTATTTCCAATTCTGTTCAAAACATCTCAGGTATCACAAAGGAAAGCACAGAGTTTGCTAATTTGCTCCAATGGAACTGCCGAAGTATAGTTCAGTCGAGTCATCTGATCCAGTCAATTCAACTTAAGTAACAATGAACAATAATTATATATGACAGACAGGTTATTTACAGATGACCAACTTTAAAAACTCAACAGGCATGTGGAGTGTATAAGCAAACTTACAAGCATCAGAGTATTATCCATTTCTTCTTGTTTCATCATATAATCATCAGGGTTGATGACCTCACCAAAGTCATCCCATTCAGCAGTGTTTTCAAAAAAGGGAAACATTGGAGCAACACTGGTTGAAGGAGGTACAAATCCATCAATGAGAATATCAGTGTTCCCACCAAAATGTGAACCAGCTGGTAGTACCACAAAGTAAAGAAGGATAGTCAACTATACATAACATGTCACATAAAATAGTAAAAAACTTACAGCATAATATAAGTTTGTAGAAACTAAATGGAACAGCAGACATGTTAGTATAAGCACTGTCTTGTCTACTTCAATATAGTTAACAATCACGAAAAGTGACATCAGACTTGATCAGGCCATTGCCTGAAGCAAGCAGAAAAAAAGTAGACAGTCAAAGAAACAGCAAGTGTACTCTAGAACTCGTTATCAGCGGATACACCATATTTAAGGTTGCATGTGGTCCTTTCAAAAAAATATTTTAAGGTTGCATGTGTGGTAAGTTATGAGGGAGATTAACATCTAGGCATATTATACCATTCGCAGATTTTCGAGATGAGCTTGGATCAATGACCATTGGGTCAGAAGCCTTTGCATTTGATCCAAGAGAAGCCTTCAGCTCCTCTTCTTTGACAAGGCTAGCCTTTAGCGCTTTTTGTTTTTTTATCCGTTCCTGTTCTTCTTCATAAGCCTTTAGTTCATCACCCACCAAAGGAATGCGCTTGCTCATAGTGACCTTTACAGCTTTAGGGGGTGGGTCCACTTGGAGCATTCGAGCCAGTGTCCCAAACTGGAGAGCACATGTTTTCTAGTCAGATAATTGTAGAATGATACATGACACAACAATCATGCTTGTAAGAGAAAGAACATTAAGATTAAAAGAATGGAAGTTTAGTGGAAGTGAGGGTTCATGGTAATATACATTTTGTTCCAAGTGCAAGCAAGCACTGTCAGCAATCATAATTTGGAAGCTTAATACTTCCTGTGACATGTCATTCCGGAATGCTAGCTACTGAGAGCATGTGAAGATTCATGACAAGAGTAACACACAGGAATGTACCTGTCCCTTCTCAGTAAAGAGCACTAGATTTCTTGCTTCATTTGCCATCTCAACAAATATGTCATGAGAAAAGCCAACCTCCAAACTTGCCATGGATGCTAGAACCACCTGCTAAATAATTGTTAACTTCAAGGTTCCAACAATACAGTAGAGAACAGAGAAATATGTTACCCTAACCTTTGGAGCATCTCCCAATTTCTCAAGCTCTTCTTTGTTAATTATCAGCGTGAACTTTCTGTGACATAGAACATCAAGAGTTGTTAATAATAGAATCAGATGGACCACAATTTATTTATTAACTGTTCCTTTAATACAAATATACAAAATCTGAGGTGCAGCATTGGTTAAAAAAGCTAAAAGTATGGCTCAAATGATAGGCTTCTAAAAACTGAACAACTGAGACGAGACACAATAAAACTGTGACATCATGAGATGCATTAAAAGAGGATTTGTAGTGAACATAGCACAAAAAGAACCAAATGAAGGTTTAATTAGAACTTATTGCTGTTTGAGGTCATACTTTAACAAGAAGGCGTTGGCTCTACTGCTTTCAAAAGATTTTGCTATCTGATCACCCATCCATTCAAGAAAACTCTTGACATAGTCAACAGTACTTGTCGACACATTTGTCAGAAAGTAGATAGGGTACTGCAATCGCCGTTCATCCCAGTACTGTAACATATCACGACAGTCAGCACATTATTGAAATAACAGGAATACAGAGTCCAGCAATAGTGTCGGAGATTTTTACCGTGTCCAATAACAAAAGAAGTTCCAACACTCTACCAGCCGTATCAACAGGAAGTAGCACACTTCCACCAGTTGCTAGAACTTTAATTAATGAATCTGCATAAACCATGATGGCATTAGACAACAGTACAACACCATAGCTAGGATGCATCACATATATAAAAATAAATAAAGGGTCAAAAACGCATCATTTTGTAGCTCTAAAAATATCTAACCATGGAACTTCATCATGAGATGACAAAACGTAGATGCTAGAAGTTAGGAATACTACTGAAACTGCAAAAATCTAAACAGAATAATAAAAGCAAATTCAGTGTTGAGTGCTGTACCAATGAAATCTTGATCTTGCTTTTTTCTATAACCTTGATTGTTCAAAGCATTGTAAGCATCGGTTATCAGAACAGCTGGCCGCACGAAAGATCCAAGAACGGTGCCATTCAAATGCCTGGGAAAAAATACAGCAATTTCAGTAGTTTATGCCCAAAAAACTAAATTAATTCTTCAAAAAAACACAAGAGAGGATCCAACCTCTCTTTCCGATGGTTGAAGTCAACAGCGTACACAACATCCTCCCCATCTTTTGTGATCTTCCACACTGTCCCCCCCAAAAGATGCCCAGCCACATGTGGAGCAATAACAATCCCTTCACCTTTATCTACCAAGAGATATTACGTGAGTAGATGCAGTGTAGCAAGCCAAAATGATGTACATCATCATGACCTTACTGACCATTCAGAAGGTAATTTTGTGAGTATTTCAATCTCACAACATTTTGGAATGCAGCATCAACATCATCCAAAGTAAACAAGTCAAAGTCTGAAACTTGCTGCAAAAGAAATATTAAGTGGTAAGGGTCCACTGTGAACAAATATAGACTACAAAATGGAGTCCAGTTTCCTTTAGCATATTGGGAGGGAGGGAAGGAGACTATGGTATTGGAAATGAGTGTGGTTGAAAAGTGTACGCCCTAGGAAAATATTGAGCACCATGAAGCTTACCCATCGAGATAGGAAATGGTCGTACATGGTCAAAAGGCCAAGTCTAAACACGGGTTCTGTTGCATAAACTGGTGCAGAGAGCCCAAGATGTTTCATAGCATAAGGCAAAGCTCCTAGATGCATCATGTCAGGATGTGACAAAAGAACAGCATCTACAGTTGGTGCAACCCTGAAAAATATACAGTATCTATTAGTGTAAGTGAAACTAACAATCAAATTGCTTCGACGATAAATAGCATATTGACACCAATGACATGTACGCATCTGCAGTGATGGAAAGTATCTCCTTTACTCAACTGCTGAGTGTAGATTTTGGAAAGAAAAATGGAGTGCATCCTTGCATCTATAAGATGTGTAAATACAACAAACGGCTGGAAAATGAATGGTGAAACGATTAGTCAGTGGGGAGGCAATGCACTGCGATTGGCATGGTGTTACACAAGGAGGCCAAAGTTTGGACAGAAGGAGCTACATGGTTTTATAGCGTCAGATAGAGACTTATTTGCATCCCCTTACAAGAAACAACAGATATGAGCAAGAGTGTCAATAACACTAGACTACACCTTAGGCATAGAAGATGTGGCATAATAGCAGGCCATTCAGCAACAAACATGCATCTAAGCACATAAACGTTTGGATGGACATGGATTTGTGAACATTCACCCTCCAACACGCACACATGGATGCGCATTGCACAAGCACATCAGTCAAATCATTGAAACAAGATGGAGATAGCATCGGTTGCAGCACAAAAAACCCTAGGACTGGAGAAACCACGAGCTACCCTCCATCTACTCCTAGTCACACAGAGGCACCCGTCATCAGCCAGAATTTACACCACTCCCTTGATTACTGAACAAATCGATGTTGCGCAGCCAAACTCCCAAGACTCACCACCAGAGGCAATTCGTCGAAAAAGTGTCCTAAAATGTGCGTCCGGCGCAGGAGCCACTTCCACACAGGTAACTGAATCGAATACAAGCTAAGCTGACGAGTCACGAGAGCAAGAAGATGCGTACTTGGCGAGGGGTTGAAGTTGCGAGGTATCGCAGAGGTCCGTCCATCCGCAGTCGAGGAGGAAGCGGAAGCCGTCGACGGCGAGCAGGTAGCACAGGGGGCCCTCCCCGTATGCCCCACTGAGAGGCGTCACCTGCACCGAAGTCCCCATTTGATCTGATAAACCCTTCGGCGGCAGCGTCGGCGGTTCGACGGCGAACGGTGGCCGCAGGCGGAGGATTCCGCCTTAGGGTGAGTGTGTCCAAAGTCGGAACTCGGAACTCGGAAGCTGGCAAGCAGCGGACCACCTTAGGGTGAGGGTGAGGCGGGGCTCTGAGAGGAGGAAGAGGAAGCAGGCCGCCCGTTAATGGCAGGCCCTACTCGCGGAGCCGCTCGGCAACTACCGGGGCGAGGCCGGCTCCCCTCCGCTCCGGTGCTGGGTGCTGGGTGCTGGGCGGCGAAACCTTGCCGCACCGGCGGCGGCGTGCCGGTGGGCCAGTCCAGCCCAGTCTGGCAGATCCGACGCCCGGTGGCCAATCGCGCTTGGTCCCGTCCTTCAGCCTCGAGCGAGCAGCGGAGGCGGCGGCACTCCAGCGAGAGAGGAGGAGGCAAAGGGAGGCGCGGGTGCCGACCCGATGGGAGAGTAGGGCGGCGAGCCGGAGGGAGGCGCGGGCGGATGAAGGCGATTTTTCCCACTTCTCCCTCCGTGCGGTGGGGAGGGAATCGCACGGAGAAGCGGGCTGAGAAGCGCGCCGCTTGGGCCGTAGGTTCGAATATTTTTTCGCCACAAATGGACTTAGGGCATGTTCCTCTAAATCTTAGACCTTTAGAGCTAAAGCTCTACATACATAATTTAAAAGTAAGCTTTATCTCATCTTACGTTAGAACTTTAGACCTCAAAAGTAATCAACCTCAAAAGTAATCCTTACGTTAGAACTTTAGACCTCAAAAGTAATCCAAAGTGCTCTAAATTTTTTTTAGAGCTATAAACTTTAGATGTAAGGATTAAACACACCCTTACAGCATTTGATATCCCTAATTCGTTGCTTGAATTGGATAGGTGTGCTTTGTTTCCGATTTTAGTCGCGCCGTCCAACCACGACAAGCTAGAAAACCCATCAAATATCTTACGGTACCATTGATTTCTTGTATTGCGAAAGACACATCCACAAGATTGAACTAGCATGTTTTTCATGCTGCGGGGTGGAGGTTGCGGTTGCCATACCGCACCACACAATCGTCCCAAACACATCCATTAGCAAAGTGGGAATGAGCTCCAATATCATGTGACATTTGATCCGCTGCTCGATCCCACACATAATACTGAGGCCTCTCCTCCATATTCGCCTGAATGAACCGCTTTTCCTTCCCCTTTCATCCCCATGTGTGCCGTTTTGTCTCTAGGCACAATAATGGTCATCAGCGCATAGCTACTCCACCTTTCCATCTCCAAGCCTAGCGTCGCGGCATCCACAGCTCGGTCTAGCACCTCTCTTGATTTGATGCAATTTGCAACCGCCCTGTCGTAGTGCGATGAGCCTACCACAAGCATTGATGACATGGCAAACACGATGCCTACCGTGCGTGTCTGAAGCTTTCCCGGGGCATATGTGCAGTCATCGCCATGTGAAAGTCGTGATTTGATTTTTGGTAATTAAATGGCAACATTAGATGGACTAATATTTTTTGTGTGAGATTAATATGTGAATTTGTCCACAAGTGGTGTTGAGCAAACCTGAAGACAATGGAGAAGATGATGTTCATCTTCGAGGCGGTAAGTGTTGGATTTAATTAGGCTTGCCTAACTTTAATTCAATTAAATCAAATAAATCTTAATGTCCATATTTTGCAAACGGATCATAGATCGGTTGGTCGTGTTCTTATGGTGTAACCTGCTGTGGGGGTATAACCCCGATACCCACAAAGTTGTACATGGGTCGAGCCACCAGGGGAGGCTCAGCCCGCAAGACTACGCCGCGCAGAGCACGGCACAGGTCAGCGTGCCTCGCAAGACTACGTGAAGATCCTTGGCAATCAAGAATGATCTATTTGGATATGCTAGATTTCGTAATCTCTGTAATTTCTATCTTATAAAGCGATCAAGATAGAAACAACCGACCTATAACCCTATCCCCGAGCTATATAAGGCGGGTAGGGACCCCCTCGTTTTCATCTAATCTCCGATAATACAAACCACAGAGACACATGACGTAGGGTATTACGTCAAGCTGACGGCCTGAACCTATATAATCGCTGTCTCTTGCGCTCTGTGTCACCATCCGGTTCTCTCACGTGCACCTCCATCGATTCATCTACTACCGTGGGCATACCCCTCGATAGACTGCCAGACGTATTTCATCGACAGTGACACGTCAGGTAGGGGGTGTGCGTGCTGAATCTATGACGAGCCAGATGGTCCACTTTCCGAGCTCCCTGGCCCTTCTCGAGCAGGGCCAGATCTTCACGGTTGGATCCATGACTTGGGTCAACGGCCCCGACGGCAACGGGGAGATCGTGGAGGCAGTGCAGCATTACCCTGCGCCGATAGCGGCAACACCTACAACGACATCTTCGATCCCGGCGCCCTGCCGCTGGGTTAGGAGATCCATCAGCAATGACAATCTAATCGCATCCATCGATCGGGTCACAGACCGCTTAGCGGAATGCTAGCTCCTCGTGGATTCGATCTTAGATCAATCTAGAGTGAGCAATGAATTTCCTGCACTCCAAGATCACCAAGCCACTACAAACGAGCGACCTGCTCGGCCACATCGTTCGAGGTGGCCAGATTCCCATCTGGTGATCACGGCCACTCCAGAGGGGCGCACGACATGACGCCGACCACTTCCTGCTACCGACCTACACTTGGCCAGTTATGAGGCCCCGATGGAGAACCCATCGAAGCCCTATCCCTTTGGGCTGGAGGGTGCTGGATCCGCGAACCAGAACGCCATCCACCACCTCTTCGCCGACCACGTCAAGCGTGACTACGTCACCGACCTCTACATGATTGATCCGACTAAGTCCGATTAGCCCGCGCCCGTGGTCAATATGGTGGCCATCCACCAGCTTACGGATGATTCCCTCCACGACGTCCTAGAGGATAGCCCTGACGATTACTCCGAGGGCTCAACCAAGACTGCATCAAGCTGCCCTACTTTCCCTCCGGGGTTTGGGGGCATGATTTTCCACGTCAGCCATGGCAGCGCCACCAGGGACGGTGAAACCTCCTACGAGCGCAATGCTCTCCTGGCGAAGAACACCGATCGCCAATGTCACCGAGATGCAAAGACAGTCCACGGGGGCGACATGGATGGACACAGTCCACCACGCCGGGGGCGTAATCTAGTGGAGGAGTTCAACATGGTGGGTGACCAGCCGGTCCACCAGACCCCAAGCATCAATCTTGCCATTGCTTTCAACGAGCTCGAGAATCTTCCCCAAGCTCCAGAGGTCGAGAAGGTCCGAGCGTATATCATAGTAGCTCAAGTCCAGGTTAACAAGTTCTGGAACCCTAACCCATCTTATTCGACCACGTTGGCTCATAGCCACCACTCCCGCCGTGATGGAGGAAGTCAACATCAAGGCATCGAGCACCCTCGACACCAAGGTGGTGGCCCCTATCTCTATAGAGGATCCAAGGGCAACTACGAAGGGCATTCATGCCAAGACGGGCGCCCTCCGCGCCCTAGGGAGGCCGGCATGGCAACCGCGATGCCAATCAGGAGGTCAATCAACTTGTCGCCCCTGTCGCTGGCTTCCGGACTCCAACCCTTCACAGCGAGGCTTTGAGCCATCCGATGGCCTGTGGGCTTCAAGATCGTCGGGGTGAACACTTATGACGGTAAGGCAAACCCTGCCACGTGGTTGGCTCTCTACGAGATCGCCATGAAAGCTGTGGGCAGAAGTGAAGACATCATGGCAAACTACTTGCCTGTCATGCTCAACCAGTCAGTGAACAACTAGCTTCTCAGCCTGTGGGAGAACTCCATCCGATCTTGGGATGACCTAAAAAAGGTCTTCACCGAGAACTACATGGCTACATGCGAGCAGCCCGATACTAAGTACGACCTGGAGAAGCTTCACCAAACCTCTGGGGAGTCCTTGCGTAACTTCATCAGGTGCTTCTCGGAGACGAGGAACTCCGTGCCCAACATCAGCAACGCCGAGGCCATCGTCGTATTCACCAAAGGGCTACAGCACGAATAGCTCCGCAGAAAGCTATACCGCAAGAGGCCCACGACCATTGGCGAACTGATACAAATTGCAAACAGCTACGCCGACGCCGAGGAAGCCGAACGGGCTGCCCGTCCTGATCGTCACTCACATCGCGATGACGATCGCCGTGAGGAGAGATGCTACGACGATCATGACCGCTGTCACGACGATCGCGACTGCCGCCATGATGATCGTGAACGTCGCCAAGACGACCAAGAGCACCGGCATGACGACCGCTCGGAGGGCTCGAGAGGCAGACAAGGCCACCGCCGCTAGCCTGACAACTCCATCAATGCTGTCAACGCTCACGCTAAGCGCACCTACGACGCTGACTACGCCAAGCTCATGGACAGTCCATGTCTAGCAGTGTGGGTTGTACCCCCCACACTGCTAATCTACATCGTAGTGACCAACCGGGTAGTCAGCATACAAAGTCCAGCGCCCAGTCTACTTCATCAGTGAGGTCCTAAATGAGTCTAAGACTCACTACCCCTAGGTCTAGAAGCTGTTGTATGCCATCCTAATCATGTCTCGGAAGCTTCGCCACTACTTTGACGCCTATCACATAGCAGTGGTTACTGAGTACCCACTCGGCGACATCCTCTGTAACAAGGAAGCCAGCGGCCGCATCATTAAATGGGCGATCGAGCTTAGCACCTATACCATCGACTTCAGGCCTCGCCACACGATCAAGTCACAAGCGCTCGCCGATTTCATCGTTGAGTGGACGGATATGCAAACTCATGTCCCGGTTCACCACCCCGAGCACTGAACCATGTACTTTGACGGGTCTCTCAACCTTGATGGCGCTGGGGCAGGCGTATATTTCATCTCTCCATCGGGGAACAAGCTTCATTACGTCCTCCGCCTACACTTCCGAGCATCCAATAATACCGCTGAATACGAGGCGGCCCTTCATGGTTTCTGTATAGCTGTTGAGCTCAGCGTGAAACA